TCACTCCCAGGCGGAGTGAGGGACCGTCCGCCGAATTGCGGCCGAATACCTGGACCTGCCGCCCCTCTCCGGAGCGGCCGCCCCAAGCACCTGCTTGAGAAGCTGATGCCTGGAGCCGGCCCTGCCTTCTGTTCTTGTCCTATCTGGCTATCATTGGGTGATGGTACTCAGAGGAGCCTCTCTAGGCATGACTTATTATCCTGAACTAATTCACATGAAATGACTGGCTGCCCTTGGTGACTATTTGCTGGGGCTTTTGCAGAACTTTGGTACACATGGGGCCTAATCCTGTAACCCTGACTTACAATGAGTAATGCTTATATAGATTATTTTATATATATAGTTGCTATTTGCTCACACTCTACAGTATGGCGGTATGTTGATAGTGAAATGCACTGGGACCGCACCAAGGCCATTTAGTCAATGTTCTCTAAGCTGGATTTCAGCAGTCAGTTTTATAAAATAGGGAGACATTTTTATTTTGGGTTGGCTGTGGTGTCCTATGTGTCCTTATTTCCTCTTGCTTCTTTTAAGATGTCCACTTAGTTTGTAAGGGTGTCATGCCTATAGCCTATCTTTCCCCCTTAATGTTAAATGAGACTGCAGAAAGCTGCCCAAAAGGGAGTGTATCTGGGGTATGGAGCTGCAGGAAGGTGGTGTGCTAGGGGTAGGATGGAGCAGTGATGCATCAATTCCGAAGAGAGACTGCAGCAGCTGGTGTAACTTAGAGCAGCCTTTAGGCTGCTGAACTGACCCCTGGCTGGAGAAGCCACCTTCCTGCACCTGATCTCTTCAGCTGAGGGTCTGGTCCTATATTTATAAACTTTATGCTTCCTTCTCTGTATTGTCTCTCCCTAGCCTCCACCTGGAAACTGCTCTCATTTGTGAATTTTAGCTCTGTAGGCAGGAAATGTGCCTTTTTTTACTTGTTTGTGAGGCACCTAGCATGCTTGGGAGCACTTACAAATAAATAAGTAAATGCTCCCTCCAGTGCACTGCGTGGGTGTAATGTGTGGGTATATTCTAGGATGAGAGTACAGAAAGGAGCAGGATTTTGATCCCAGTTTCCTGAATGGTTACGAACAATTTGCTACCCAGGCAAATGTGACATAAAAATTATTCTCACTGCTGAAGCAGAAAGAAGTTTTCTCTGTGCCCACAGTAAGTTCAGAAATAGAGTTTTTGTGCCCTCTGGTGGCCAAGAGAAGATTAGAGAAATGAATGTTGAATGTGAAGGCATTTCAACTTCAGTAAAGTTTCAGATTTTCATTACATCATTTGCAGTAAAGAGTGCAATCATCCCAGTAATAAATCTAACTGAAACTCATAGTACAACTCAGACATCAGCATTGTCTTCTGTTCAGCCCTCCTGTAAATTCACCATAGTATGATTGCATTTTGGTGCAAATGCTAGGGCTGGTCAAAAATTTTGCATATAAACATTTTATTAAATAGAAAATTGGGCTTTCAATTAATTTCCGCTCCTCCCCCCATTTTTGATGTTTCATCGGAAAACCAAAAATCTATACTTTCAGTTTTTGGTCACAAATTTCCCATCCTGTCAACACATAGAAACACCCGCTTTAGTGTGCTGCAGACTTCGCATTTCTATTCTATTCAGATTTTTATATCATGCTTATCGCCATAGTATCTAAGTGCCGTTGTATACAAAGGATGGATGTGCTGTCTACTTAGGTCTGTGGTCAGAGGTACAATTTCCCTTCCTCTTGGATAAGCTTCGTGTTTCCCATGATCCCTTTTAGCTTTCTTTCCAACTGACACTCTTTGAAGCTGGGAAAAATCTTCTGACTGGAGGATTGAACATCTCAGCAATCTGCTATACTTCTGTGAGCTCCAAAAAACCAAGAAAAGCAAATCAAATTGCAGATCAAAGATGGTGACAGAAAGGTGAAAGAAAAGAGTGAGAGAAAGAAGAGTGAAATCAAAGGCAAGAAAAAGAAGAGACTTTCCTGCTCTAACATAAATAACAGCCAGTAAATAAATAAGTGATAGAGTTCAACCAAACCCAGGAGTGTAGTGGGCCCAATCCTGCAGTTCTTACCTGGGCAGTTTCCCACTCAAAGAACCAATTTTGCTCTCTATTACAGAGGATGCAGTAGCCCCACTGAAGTCAGTGTAGTGAATCTGGATTTACACCAGTGTAGCTGAGAGCCAACTTTGGTCCAATTTGTTCCTTTCCTATCCATCGACACAGCTAAAACTCTCATCCAGGTTCTCATCGTCTTGTGTCTTGATTACTGCAACATTCTTTATTTTTTTTGGCTTGGAAAATGCAGTCTTGCCCCTCCTCATATCCATTCAGAACGCTGCTGCAAAGATCATTTTCCTGGCCTGTCACTTTGACCATGTCACCCCTGTCTTTGCATCCCTCCACTGGCTCCCTCTTTTCTATCAGATCAAATATAAGCTCATTATCTTCACTGTCACAGAACTTCACAAGTAATCCCCACCCTGCATATAATTTCTCATTCAGTATAAAATAGTTGACTCCCACCTCCAATCAGCCTGTGATGCCTGCCTCCACTGCCCACTTATTACATTTTCAAACACCTTGTTCTTTTTTCTATGCTGCCCTTCATGCTTGCAAGGATGTCTCTGAAAACATATAGAAAACTAATTCGTTATCCTCTTTCAAATCTCTGCTTAACTGTGCTATGTGGCTTGCTTACATAAAACTGGACAATGGTTAGACTGCTGGTGTACAGAGACCACTGCCAATCATGCTGACCAGTACTGTCATTGTTTCCTGGTACTCCCCATCAGTTTTTCTGTATCCATCTGTTGTCTTATACTTAGATTGTGAGCTGTCTGGGGCAGGGATTGTCTTTTTATTCTGTGTTTGTACAGCATCTAGCAGAATGGGGTCCTGGTGCATGACAGGGACTCCTAGGCATTATGATAATACTACTACTACTACTAATAATAATAATAATAATGAAATGTAAAAATATTTCAAGGAACTAAATCAGCCAGCCAAGTGCATATTGCAAGAAACCTCTTTGGTTGCACTGCTAGTAACCTCTGAGTTTTCCAATACTCACCCATTTGTATCTGTCTTGTTGGCCACTCAGTAATATATGGGTTTATTCTCCCCTTGATGTGTGCATGTAACTCCTATCAACATTAATGAGGGTTGCATTTATGCCCCAATGGAAGAATATGGCCCCATTGTGATCACCTCACACATCTGTTGATATCTCTTGGTTGCAGGGTCTTTAAAGAATGGTTGCAGATGGGAATTTTCTAGCAAGTGTTCATCCTAAAGAAATTACCTACAACTTCTCAGACATTCATTAGTAAGTACAAGTATAAATTTTGCTTGATTGTGTCTAGCACTGGCCTTCCCTCTGCCCCGCCACACAAGTCCACACCACTGTTGATGCAAGAGCCTTCTACAATCCAATCTGTTTCTATTTTCCCTTGTGAATAGGTCTTCATTTTTCTCTCCTTGTGCTAATTATCTAAGGCTTCAGTCTACACGAGGATCTGCTAATATGGAACCCTGTGTTTGTGTGGAGTCCTGCTGGAGTCAAGGGTCTGTGTTAGTGGATCCCCACGTAGGGTCAGGGCCTATCCTGTAAACTGTTGTTTAACTCTGCTGGGTTTTTGGATAGTTTTCGTGAAAGGCCTTCTTCCCTTTGGCAGGACATAGGCTTTACCTCAAGGTTAAAGAGAATACATAGTGGCATGAGGAGTGGCTAGCGGTGACACAGAAAGGTAACAATTTGATTTCTAATTATGATACCCTCTGGATTCATTGGAGTAGGCTGAGTGTATGCACACCTGCCAGAGGCAAACCTTATGCCCTTCATTAGTCCAAACAGGAATGCATTTCACAGAAGGAATCTGAGGAATGCACCATATTTAAATGGCAAAGATCTAACCAGTGTTTCATAATGGCAGATTAATTGCCAGAACAAGAACACAAATGTACATAAGTGCAATGAAGATGTAGAAGTTCAATAGCCACTTAAAGGGGCTTGGGAAGGTTAAAGACCATTTTAAAATATTGCCTTGCTTGTGTTACAAATAACTTCTTAGATTATTAACAGTAAAAAAAATGATTTTTTTTTTTTTTTAGTTTATGCTGTTCATTTACCTTTTAAATTTCTCATTTGACTCAGTTTCCCTATAGTTTAAAACAATTTTCCAGTGAATTTCACTTTTCTCGTGCACTAACTCAGTGCTCTAATGTCTGCATTGTCCATCCAATTCATTCATATTTCATTCTTAAAGTTAAAATAATTACACAAATGTAGAACCAGTGAAAGACACTGGGTCAGAGTCTCAGCTGGTGTCAAGTGGAGTCGCTCCATTGATTTCAATACATTAATTTACACCTGATGAGAATTGGACCCTATTTAATCCTCTTTATATCCTCAGAACAGATATTGTGCTGGCAGCAGAAATGCAAGCTGCCCAATATTGCCCTGCCAAAGTGCTCTAACTCTCCTCTAGAGGGACTGCTTCTTAGGGAGAAAGGGTGATTCAATCTCTGTGCCCACTCAGCTGTTGGCAGCTATACTGAGATTGCCAACAAGAGCAACATTTGATAGCCACTGTGATGATGTAATTTGGAATGTGAATGTCTGTCTATTTTTACTGGACTACATAGGATCTGCGGCATTCAACATTCATTTCTTGAAGCTTTAGAAACACAAAATTAAGCCATAGAAACATACAGGAATTGGAAGCTGTCTTTAATCTTCAAATGAAGCTATATTCTCACCGCAACTCTTACCCCTTACCCTCCTGTGCTAAGATATTTCACTTCAGCTGGTAAATGAGGTCACCACCCACTTTCTGTAGCACCCAACCCAGGGAATTTCAGCTTTAATTTCCTGACTTTTAGTCTCTAAAAGCCATTTTTACATACCTTATTTTTTGTGGCTTAAATTTCCCATTATGCACTGGTGTTAACTATAAAGAAGATACTGTAGGGCAATTTATGGTGATTTTGCATATTCAAGGACTGCCTGACTTGGCTCTGTATTAGATATATTACACAGAACATAAACAATTCTTTAAATTAGTTTTTGGACTGCATCCCTCCCATGGACTGCATTTCCATCATGCATACCCATGGGGAACTCTTTAATGAGATTAAAAGTTGTTGACAATGGTATAGTTTGACTCTTGTTAAAGAATAGGTTTTGTTTCTGCTATTCTTTATAAAAATTATTGACTGATAGTGCATTGTGGGGAGTTTGTCACATCACATTCCATGTTCTATGAATTACTTAATCTATTTAAATTAAGGAAAGTTTAGAAATTTGTTTTGCTAAAATCGCACTAAACTATGATGTCCCTTTTCAGCCTGTCCATTCCTCCGATTGCAGATATGTATAAGGTGGGTGTAAACATGGACTCTCCCCTTTCTAACTGCCCTAGTTGTCTCTTCCCTGCTGCATTCATTTGGTGATGCCACAGTTCCAGATGTGGCAAACCAAACTCAGTTTAACTTCAGGTGCTCGCTGCAGGCACAAAGCATGGTAAATTTGATCCTGAACTTCATCAGAAATGATGACAAATCAGGACACAATATCACTGCCTTACACCACTATGCAACCTTAATTTGACCCCCTTTTCTGGATGCATTATGATATTCTCTAATTGCATCATCACATACTACTACTTCTGTAGAACCCCTGCACTACTTATTGTATATGAACCCATATGTATGTTCTGATTCATCACAGTGTTCAACCTTTGCAAGCTGCAGGTTTATTGTTGACACACTGACAGACCTGTGGCAAAGGTGGCTTTGGTCATGATTATCTACATCTTTTCGTAAACGGACCACTCGTATAAACTTCTATAAAATTTACAGTGCTGTGGGCCAAATCCTGTAACTCTCACTCAGTCTTTACTCCTATGACTTTAATGAGCGGTTTTGCCTGAGTAAGGATTTCAGGATTTGGCCCAGTACATGGGTGTGAACCTGTGCATACAGCTCAAGTGGAGGGCTTTTACCTGAGGTTTTCTGAACTGAATTCGGACTCCAGAAAACGAAGGAACAGGTCTCGTCCCACTGGATCCTTCAGCACCTCATCTATAGAGAAGCCCCATCTTTTCACACGTTGTTGGCTGGGCTCTTTGCTGTTAAGGTGAGGGAGAGGAAGGTAAGAGTGAATGCATGTCCATCTATGGTCCAGAATGGCTGAATGGCAATTGACTCTATTCAACATCAAAGGGAAAAAGGATGACAAACCAAAGGGTGAGGCTTCTCTTGTAACTCACACAAATGGAGACCATCATGCACCATATGAAAAGAAGAACTGAAGACTAGGGCACCTACCCCTCTGAAAATCAGGCCTTTTTAAGGTGTCTTAAGTTGCACATCCAAAAATGGAAGCACACAAAATCAATAGTCAACTTTGAAAATCCTGTCCTAAATACTTCCCTAATATTACTGTTCCATGGCAGCAATTTCTATAGTTACATCAGGGATATGGTATATTTGCAAATGGGAGGAGGTGGTGTCTGCTATTGCAAATTAGAAGAGAGGTTTCCAGGAGAACGACAACGCATTAAAATGTGGCCCACACTATGAAAACGTTTGAGGAGTCTCTGATTAAGGGTGACATAACATTAGGTACCAAATAAGACACATCCATTAAAATACAGCATGGTTGCTCAGACTAGTAGTACTAGAATCTCGGTCTCCTTAAGACAAGTGCAATGCCTAGTGAGCGACATGCTTTTCTGTTTCACAGATTACAGATGAGGCCTGGTCATGAAAAATTCCTAAAATCAGAGACTCTAATAGACGGGGGGGTCCCTGCTAAAAGGACAAATGGGGGCCAGAATGCAGGAGTTTCAGTTAGTGTGCCTGCTTTTAATTTTCTTTTGGTGTAAAGATTAAACACAGATAAAATAAATGTCATTGGGGGGACGGAGTCTTTTAAAGTCTTGACACTGTATTAGGCATGGAGTGAACCGGGATTTGATATGACCTCCACTTGACGGCCCAAACTGTATCCAAAATTGAATTACTTTACAGTTGCATTTCCCAAAGTGTGGGGTGACAGGAAGGACTAGCTGCAGGGTCACAGTAGCTGTCTAAATTAAGATGGGTAGGCCTTTGCCAACACATGGTGGGTTTGAAATGGGGTATGAATAGTTTCATTTTCCTGAAAAGGGGGTGGCTGGAAGCCTCAGCTTTCAAAATTATTCAAACAAGTTGCAACTAGATGCAGATGCAGCTAATGCTCTTGGAGTAGAGAATAAAATGGACCAATCAAGCTATTGTTCTCCCATCTCCCAGCAATACCGTCTTCTCATTTTCATCACCAGGAGAATCATCTCTATTAACTTGACCTGAGACCGTAGAGGCAGCGAGGCATTTCTTTACACTCATATGCAGCCCTGACATCAGGTTTAAATCATAGTTCTCAGGAGCACAAAAGTCTTTCAGGAGACATCATGCTGACTACTTGGGGAGATACAGTAATAATATAGCTTCAGATATCAGGGTACCAGCACTCAGTTTATATCAGAGGGGCGTTTTGCTGCAGTTATGGCTGTTTATTCCATACAAAACTTGTTAAAGAGATTAACATCAGGGTCTTGCAGGGGAAGCAAAAACCAAAAGTGAAATAGATTAAAAATAAGTCCAGGGTATCACAAAATAAAAGATAAGGGAAGTAGGGATTAAGAAATGGATCAAAGATTCCTGTGTGTGATGGAGTGAAAGTGGGGAGGTACCTTTCACAATTGAGGGAAACACAAAAACCCATTTGTTCTGTCCTTGGATTTCTTTTAGGACGGGATTTGATGTCTAGCTGCCGAGTCTGGTACTCTCCACAGGCAACCATGTGCCTGGAGATGATGATTCAGCATGGACTGGCCCTCCAGAGGCAGACCCAGTATTTTGATTTTGAGTTTTCTTACCTCCAAGTTCCAAAGAGCAGATTTTACCTTAGGTTTCTATCTCATAGTCAGGCATGAGAATTGAAGCAAATTTGTAGCTCCCTTTTGAAATATTTGACTATTTTAATATCACACCCAGGTCATATTTGGTCCTGGGTAGGAATGCCAACTAAACATTCACACAGTAAGAGCAAAGGATTGGGAGAAGTGGACGCTGCCTAATCACCATGGTGCCTGAACTGAGGTCTAGCAATGTGACCGATGGGTGTATGTGAATGAGCTGGGGAGCCGGGACCCAAGGACTCTGAGGCTGCACTCAGAGTTGCTCTTGCAACTGCTAGACATATGCTCAGGCATGATGATTCTAGTCCCAAGTGCTACTGTCATTGTGATCTGAGTAAATAAGGACACTGGGTTTAAACTTTATTCTGCCCTATATCTTGTGTAGTCATTCACACCTGTGCAAAGTGGGTATACAACATGACCATTCTGGTTTAGCAAACTTGCACACCCATTTTTCAAGGGTGTAAATAAAATAACCACACAAGGTGCATGGCAGTGGAGAATCACCACTACATTCTTTCCTTTACCTTTTCAGGCATTTATTATATGCCATAGAAGAGCAAAACAAAGAAGAAAGGCCCAAATCTCTCTGTGGCCATCTAATATAACTTATGACAATTAAAAAATAGCATGAGCCCTTATTTCTTGCAAGCAGGTGTCGCTTCTGAACATACCCATGTATACAATCTACTGTCTATATGGGGAGCGCAATACAAATAAAATGAAAGGCTTGCTTTAAGGATATTCATAGTTTCCATGGAATTTCAATTTCTTACCTCATTTCTATGTCCCATAATGTAGCGTCATCGCTTATCCAGGGATTGGAAGGTTCAGCAGGAGTTATAAATGGATCATATTCAATGTACTGGTCTGAGTAAGTTATTAAACTAGGACAGGGGGAAAAAGAAAAGAAAAGAACAGCTGTAGCCTACATGTTTACATGTGAATTGGCAAACTACAACTCTTCAACAATTTTCTTTTTAGTTTTACATATTGGTCAAATTTTCCAACAAGCACCTTGATGCTTTGCCCCATGACACCTCTTATGCATGGAAGTTGCTCTCCAGAAAACTTCACAAAGCCACCGCATTGTCCTCCTTAAAACTCATGTCTGCTGTGGTGCGTATAGAAAAACCCAATAACGGTTAGGCAGCTGGAGTGCTACGGCCAGGGCTTTTCACAGTGATCACGTCGTTACTGTGTGCTCCCAAGTCAGTTGTATTCCCTTGTTGTCTCGTCTTGTACCTAGGCCTCAATCCTGCAAAGACTTCTGCACATGATTAACGTTATGCTCGTTGTGTAGTTTTATTGATTTAAATGGGATTATGCACCGTGCTTAAAGTTACGCATGGGGGTGGGGGGAATAGACTTTTTCAGGATCAGAGCTTGACTGTAAGCTCTTCACGGCATGAGCCATCTTTTAGCCATGTTTGTGCAGTGTCTAGCACAATGGAGCTGCAACCTCTAGATGCTACTGCAATACAATAAATAATAGTTGTATCTTTTAATCATCTAAGTTTCAAAAAATAAAAAAAATTGTGTACATGTTGGTAAAGCTCCATAAAGTAATTTGCAAGGAGCTCAGCATCATGCTGTGCTCTTGAGCAGGGAAGTTTTTGAGCTGTGTTTATACTAGCGCTGAGTAAATAATTCACAATAAGTTATTCAGCTAATTATGTTCCTTTTTCTTCTCATAGAATATCCACCAGCAGATTGCAATTCCCCCAAGTATTACCTGAAATGATGTGATTACTATTTTGTTGAGTATTTTGGTTTTATTGCAAATATTTGATATATATGCCATGTTGCTTACTTGTGACCGGTTAGATAAGGCACATATTATAGTTTCTGTTCCTTGATTGAATGAGTGTGAAAGCACTTGCCGGGTAAATAACTGGGGGTGCAGATTTAAAAAGTGGTTTCCACAAATACTTGCAGAAACAACTTGGGAATTCCTCTTGTGGGAACATGTTTGTGAGTAGAACTTGATCAATCAAATATTTGCAATGGGGGAGGAGGGGAAATCCACAACATGAAGATGAGCATAGCTAAAGGAAATTCATTTAGCCCAGACACTGAATAGTTATGGACAATTTTTTATTTTTTTATTTGTGTCACAGAAGCTAGAAAGTTGCTCTGACCTACCCTACTCACCACCGCTCCTCTTTTTTGGTCCTAACTGTTGTCAGAAGGTATTAAAATCACACACTTTTGTAAATGTAGCAGGTTCCAATAGACCCTCAGGGCATCCAGTCCCATGATGTCTTATCTCATTTCATTAATTACATTTCACGATTGTCGAGGGTTACGGGTTGGAGGAGGGAATGGCATCCAATTTCAGAGAGCAGCAGCAATCCCAGAGATGGAAATGCGAGAGGAGGTCAAAAAATCAATCAGGTGCACTCTGCTGTGAAAGTTAAATGGCTCCTAATAAAATAATGAGAATGCATTGCAGGCGCCACAAGTCGTAGCAAAAAATAAGTTAAAATTAAATAAAACAAGATGGGCTACGTGCCTTTTGCTGATTCAGCCTATCAGCAGCAACTGGATCATTGCTTGTTTAAATGAAGTTATAGGAACAGGCAAACCTAAGGGAAAGGCATATAAACTAGGGCTTTTGGGCTTTCAAGTGATGTAATATAATTCTGGTAGAAGATGTAGTGGTTATGCTTCACTGAGGCATGCAAGAATGGTGTTAGGCACTTCTTACATGCACATTCACGGAGATACTATTAATGCAGGGGATACACAACATCCTTGGCATGGTTGACACCCATCTTGAAAGTTACAAGATACTCCTCCATGGTTCTGTTGCAGGTCACAGGAAATGAGTTGCCGTTCATTTGAAGAGGCCCAGATTTACTTCAGGAGTCATTACAATGGAATGGCGCTACATGACGGTGTTGTATCAATACACAATCATGCAATGTCAGAATGCGAACAAGAGAAGCTCAAACATTGTGGAAAGGAGTGGGTGGAATTTGTGAGGTTAACAGTAACTTCACTCAAGGTACCCAAATCCTAAAGCCAGCAGTGGTGTGTGGGTCAAATGGAGAAAAAGCATGTGGAGGAAGGAAAGAGAACTCTTTTCACTGCGTATTTCTGGCACATACAGCAACAGAGCAATGTTTGCTCCCTCAGGAATTGCTGTGGTGGCTGGATCAACATAGAATCATGGAAACCTAGGGCCAGAAGGGACCTAGAGAGGTCATCTAGTGCTTCCCTCTGGACTGAGGCAGGATCATGTATGCCTAGACCATCTCTGGCAGGTATTTGTCTAATCTGTTCTTAAAACCCTCCAATGATGGCGATTCCATAACTTCCTTTGGTAATCTATTCCAGTATTTAGCTATCCTTACAGTGAGAGTTTTCCCCAACTTCTAACCTACATCCACCTTGCTGCAGATTAAGCCAGTTACTTCTTGTCCTACCATCAGTGGACATAACATGCACGTTCTTTAACCTTCCCACAAAGGTCACGGTTTTCTAACCCTTTTATCACTTTTGTTGCTCTCCTCCAGACTCTCTCCATTTTGTGAAAAATCTTTTTTGAAGTGTGGTGCCCAAAACTGAACACAGTACTTCAGCGGAAGCCTCACTACTGCCGAGGAGAGCAGAACAATTACCTCCTGTGTCTTACATACAACACTCCTGTTAATACACCCCAGAATGATATTTCCCATTTTTGCAACTGCATGACATTGATTCACATTCAATTTATGAGCCACTATTACCCTCTGTGGCCCAGGGACCTCTTGCTGCCAGCTGGCAGAGGGCATAATGGGGGCACGACGGTTATAGGAATCCCCTGGGTCTGGCATTTACATTCTAGTTGACCAAAGAGTGTCATTTGAGGTCTGTAATAAAAGCCTGTGTCACTCTGGTCATCAATATCATTATGAAATGTAGGTACTGATACTATGTAAGAGTTATGTACTATACACTGAAAATTATGTTCTTAAGGTATGCAACTGCGGGGTTGGTCACCAGGAAAGGTAAAAAGCAGGTTTTTCTCTATCTATTTATGTTTACATGTAAACAAAATATTGTCTGGTTCACACTGGGCAACCTAGTATTCTAAGTCAAATGCTAATGAAGAGCTGGTGGGGACTTCAGAATGAAACTATCAGGAAGAGGTAAACAGTGCGGGGGGAAGGGCTATCTTGAGATATGCATCAAAGGTGTGACTGGTACATTTAGTGAGGCAAAGAAGACACTTTGGCATCCTTCACTGAGGAAGTAAATAAGTAAATGGACAGTGAGTTCACTTCATAAAAAAGGGATCTTTCAGCCACGCTTGGTCGAAATCACTGGAGAGAACCTTGGATAAGATAAGCTTCATTAGACAGGAGGACAACCTGGTAGTTAAATTTCGTCTCTAGAAAGCGTGTTATGATTTACTTACTATCAATCATTTGAATCTCTGTTCTCTGATAAAGCTTATTCTTGTTTTCACTATAAATATATCTAAGTGCCATGTGTTTAGCAGAGCTGTGTTCTAAGGGATAACTAATAAGCTGTGGTCCACTGTTCCTTTGGGAACAGCAAATCTGGCAGTTCTTTGAGTGTTCAGTGGATAAGGGGCTGGATGCTACAGGGGATGGTCGGAGGACTTAAGTATTAGCATGCCTACCACTAACCCGCACGGAGAAAATGAGGCTAGCTGAGGCCTGGAAGGTAGTGCTTGTGCTGATTCACAGCAGGTATAGATATTTCCTCACACTCAGGTTAGGTCGCGGTGAGGTATCTCACAACCCTGGGTACCATTCCACCCCCAGATCCTTTCCCCAGTTCCAATGCCTAGCCACTTATTCCCAATTTTTTTATTTGTGCACTTTATTTTTCCTTCCTAATAGTACTTTGCACTTATCTTCATTGAATTTCATCTTAGTGGTTTCAGACCAATTCTCCAATTTGACAAGGTTATTCTGAATTCAAATCCTGTCCTCCAAAGTGCCTGCAACCCCTCACAGTTTGGTGTCATCTGCAAATTTTATAAGCAAACACTCCACCCCATTATTCAAGTCACTAATGAAAATAATGAACAGTACAAGACTCAGGACAGACCACTGAAGGTCCCCACTAGATATAGTCTCCCAGTTTGAGAGTGAGCCATTGATAATGGGCTTAGTATGGTTTTTCAACCAGTTTTGCATCCATTTTATAGTAGTTTCTTCTAGACCAAATTTCACTAATTTACGTATGAGAATGTCACATGGGACTATGTCAAAAGCAGTACTAAAATCAAGATATAATCACATCTACTTCTTTCCCCATCCACTAGGCAAATAACCCTGTCAAAGAAGGAAAGTAGGTTGGTTTGGCATGATTTATTTGTTGACAAATCCATATTGGCTAGTACTTACCCTATTATCCTCAAGGTGCTTACAAACTGATTGTTTAATAATTTGTTCCAGAATCTTTCCAGGTATTGAAGTTAGACTGATGGTCTATAACTCCCCAAGTCCTCTTTCCCCTGTTTTTAAAGATAGGTGCTATGTCTGCCCTTCCCCAGTTCTTTGGAATATCATCCATCCTCAGAGATAATCATTATGGTTTCCAAAATTGCTTTAGCTAGTTTCTTAAGATCCCTAGGGTGTATTTCATCAGGCCCTGCTGACTTGAATAGTTTAACTTAACTAAACATTCTTTAACCTGTTCTTTCACTATTCTGGCTTCTGTTCTTTGCCCCCTTTTGTCATCATTAATTGTGGTAAGCATTTGGTCACAATTTGTGTATGCACATTAATCTGAAAACTACCCTTTTCTCCTGGGTGGTAGGATTCCAACCTGCTTTTCATTTGTTTTTTTAGCATGAAAATGGGAAAGGAATTGGCATTGCCATCCCAGGTTTCTGCCATATGGATGTATTCCCTTAGAGTGTTCA